TCCTTCCCCTGCAGCAGCAGCAGCAGCAGCAGCAGCAGCAGCAGCGGCAGCAGCAGCAGCAAAGGCAGCAGCAACAGCAGCAGAAACAGAGAGACAGACAGAAGAACAATAGAAGGAAAAAAGAGACAAAATACGCAAAAGGAGACAAATAAACAAACAAAAACAAATAAACAAAAACAAAAAAACAAAAACAAATATGTAAATAAACAACAGGAGACAAACAAAAAAAGACAAACAAATAAAGAGAAATAAATAAAAGCAAAAAAAACAAAGAAAAACAAAAAGCAGACAAAAAAATAAATACAGAGAAACAAAAGGAGACAAATAAAGAAATATAAACATAAAGATACAAACAGAGACAAACAAACAAACAAAAAACAAAAAAAACAAATAAACAAACAAACAGAAGACACAGAGAAACAAACAAAATAAATAAACAAAAAAATAAATAAAAAAAGACAAAGACAAAGACAGCAACCTACCGGCGGTGCTGCCATCGTTGCTGCAGCAGCAGAAAGGTCCCCGCTGAGAAACAGCAGCAGCAGCAGCAACAGCAACAGCAGCAGCAGCAGCAACAGCAACAGCAGCAGCAGCAGCAGCAGCAGCAGCAGGACAGACACTCCATCAAGATATTCAAGAGAAGCCCACAGACGCAGCAGCAGCAACAGCAGCAACAACAGCAACAGCAGCAGCAGCAGCAGCAGCAGCAGCAGCAGCAAAACGGCAGTGAGCTGCTTCTCAGGCCTCGTGTGCAGCAACCAACGAGTCTACATTTCACTGCTGCTGCTGTTGCTGCTGCTACATTTGCTGCAGTTGCTGTTGTTGCTGCTGCAGTTGCTGCTGCTGCTGCTGCTGCTGCTGCTGCTGCTGCTGCGCTCACGGGCAAGGCCAACGAGAGGAGGGGTCAGCGGCGGGGCCGACTCATTGAAGTAAGAAAGAGGCGATCCAGCAGCAGCAGCAGCAGCAGCAGCAGCAGCAGCAAGAGCGGGAGCAGCAGCAAGAGCAGCAGCAGCAGAAATAATAAACTTCTCTTTATCTTCTGGTTGTTGCTGCTGTGATGGAGGGAAGAGGTTATTCCCTTAACATAAACCCCCAGTTTGTCTGCTGCTGCTGCTGCTGCTGCTGCTGCGTTCAGCGCAGGCGGCTGCGGCTCGGGAGCAGCCACAGCAGCAGCGGCGGCGGCAGCAGCAGCAGCAGCAGCAGCAGCAGCAGACGCACAGGCTGAATTGCTGTGCATTCTTTTATTTTCTGGCATTTGAGATGTTTTTATTCTCAAGGATCTAACAAGACACACGAGAACACCTGCTGCTGCTGCTCCCGCTGCTGCTGCTGCTGCTGCTGCTGCTGCTGCTGCTGCGGCGTCGCCGACACTTGGCTGACCCATAGCGTCCCCAGGGCCCCCCGTTGTGTGTTTTCTGTAATCTGGGGTGTACGTACACCTCAACACTCTAAATATCTTTTAGCTGCGCGTCTACAGCGAGAGGAGCTGCTGCTGTTCTCTGCAGCAGCAGCAGCAGCAGCAGCAGCAGCAAGAACAGCAGCAGCAGCAGCAGCAACAGCGACGACGCTCTCTGAAGGGCCGCTGTGTTGTGTGTTTGTTCTTCGTAAGATTAGCAGCAGCATCAACTGCAGCAGCAGCAGCAACAACAACAGCAGCAGCAGCAGCAGCAGCAACAGCAGCAGAAACAGCAGCAGACCCTCACCCCCCAGAGGAGAGACAAGCAGCAAGGCATCTGCTGCTACACGCACACCCTTTGCTTTCTTTGCTGTTGCTGCTGCTGCTGTTGCTGCTGCAGTTGTCCTACGGAAGCGATTCCCCAGCAGCAGCAGCAGCAACAGCAGCAGCAGCAGCAGCAGCAGCAACAGCAGCAGCAGCAGGGTGTGCCCGCAGCCAATGGTTTTATATAACTCAATATATTCGCGTTGACGCAATTTGAACTACAGCGCGCATCTGCATCTGCCGCCGCCGCCGCCGCAGCAGCAGCAGCAGCAGCAGCAGCAGCAGCAGCAGGAGCAGCAGCAGCAGCAGCAAGAACACCACGAGCAGCAGTAGCCCCTATATCCGCCAGCAGCAGAAGAACGAAACAGAAGCAATGAGTGATATGAACCCTAGCAGCAGCAGCAGCAGCAGCAGCAGCAGCAGCGGCGATGCCTATCAACATTTATATAAAATAATTTTACTCGGCGATGCAACCGTAGGCAAAACCCATTTAGTCTGTCGATACACCCGAGGCACCCTACCAGTAAACCCCACCGCCACCATCGGCGTTGAGTTCTCCACCAGGACTGTGCCGCTTGCGGTGGGGGGGACGGTGAAAGCACAGGTATGCTGCTGCTGCTGCTGCTGCTGCTGCTGCTGCTGATGGTGATGGGGTTGGTGATGGTGGTGATGGGGTTGGTGCTGCTGCTGCTGTTCGTGCTGCTGCTGTTCGTGCTGCTGCTGCTGCTGTTGATGGCGTTGAGTTCTCCACTAGGACTGTGCCACTCGCGGTGGGGGGGACTGTGAAAGCACAGGTATGCTGCTGCTGCTGCTGCTGCTGCTGCTGTTGGTGATGGGGTTGGTGCTGCTGCTGTTCGTGTTGCTGCTGCTGTTGCTGGTGATGGGGTTGGTGCTGCTGCTGCTGCTGCTGTTCGTACTGCTGCTGCTGCTGTTGATGGCGTAGAGTTCTCCACAAGGACATTGCCCCTTGCTGTGAGGGGCACGATAAAAGCACAAGTATGTTGCTACTGCTGCTGCTGCTGCTGCTGCTACTGCTGCTGCTTCTGCTGCTGCTACTGCTGCTGCTGCTGCTGCTGCCGCTGCTGCTGCTGCTGCTGCTGCTGCTGCTGCTGCTGCTGCTGTTGCTGCTGCAGATATGGGACACAGCAGGCCAGGAGCGTTACCGGAGCATAACATCAGCGCACTATCGGCGAGCTGTTGGTGCTTTGTTAGTTTACGATATAACAAAAAAACAAACATTTATAAATGCTAGTAAATGGCTAGAAGAACTAAGACAAAAGGCAGACCCAGATATCATCATCATGCTTGTTGGTAATAAAGCTGATCTTTGTGAAAAAAACCCAGCACTTAGAGAGGTA